CAAACTATTGTGACACAGGATCTAATTAGTGGCACTTGTCAGCGTATCCACTGTTAGCGTAACACACCCGCTTTAAGGACACTGACTGCTATTCAATCTATAACAGTGAAAAAAGATTATTATTTTTTTAAATCCTAACTATTGTGACACCAGATCTAATTAGTGGCACTGGTCAGCGTATCCACTGTTAGCGTAACACAGCAGCTTTAAGGACACTGACTGCTATTCAATCTATAACAGTGAAAAAAGATTATTTTTTTTTTAAATCCAAACTATTGTGACACCAGATCTAATTAGTGGCGCTGGTCAGCGTATCCACTGTTAGCGTAACACACCCGCTTTAAGGACACTGACTGCTATTCAATCTATAACAGTGAAAAAAGTGTTTTGTTTTTTTAAATCCAAGCTATTGTGACACCAGATCTAAGTGGTGGCACTGGTCACCGTATCCACTGTTAGCGTAACACACCCGCTTTAAGGACACTGACTGTATTCAATCTATAACAGTGAAAAAAGTGTTTGTTTTTTTTTTTAAATCCAAACTATTGTGACACAGGATCTGATTAGTGGCACTTGTCAGCGTATCCACTGTTAGCGTAACACACCCGCTTTAAGGACACTGACTGCTATTCAATCTATAACAGTGAAAAAGATTATTATTTTTTTTAAATCCAAACTATTGTGACACAGGATCTAATTAGTGGCACTTGTCAGCGTATCCACTGTTAGCGTAACACACCCGCTTTAAGGACACTGACTGCTATTCAATCTATAACAGTGAAAAAAGATTATTTTTTTTTAAATCAAACTATTGTGACACCAGATCTAATTAGTGGCACTGGTCAGCGTATCCACTGTTAGCGTAACACACCCGCTTTAAGGACACTGACTGCTATTCAATCTATAACAGTAAAAAAAGTTTTTTGATTTTAAATCCAAGCTATTGTGACACAGGATCTAATAGTGGCACTTGTCAGCGTATCCACTGTTAGCGTAACACACCCGCTTTAAGGACACTGACTGCTATTCAATCTATAACAGTAAAAAAAGTTTTTTGATTTTAAATCCAAACTATTGTGACACAGGATCTAATTAGTGGCACTTGTCAGCGTATCCACTGTTAGCGTAACACACCCGCTTTAAGGACACTGACTGCTATTCCACCTATAACAGAGAAAAAAGATTATTTTTTTTTTAAATCCAAACTATTGTGACACCAGATCTAATTAGTGGCACTTGTCAGCGTATACACTGTTAGCGTAACACACCCGCTTTAAGGATACTGACTGCTATTCAATCTATAACAGTAAAAAAAGTTTTTTGTTTTTAAATCCAAACTACTGTGACACAGGATCTAATTAGTGGCACTTGTCAGCGTATCCACTGTTAGCGTAACACGCCCGCTTTAAGGACACTGACTGCTATTCAATCTATAACAGTGAAAAAGATTATTATTTTTTTTAAATCAAAACTATTGTGACACAGGATCTAATTAGTGGCACTTGTCAGCGTATCCACTGTTAGCGTAACACACCCGCTTTAAGGACACTGACTGCTATTCAATCTATAACAGTGAAAAAAGATTATTATTTTTTTTAAATCCAAACTATTGTAGACAATTCAGATCTAATTAGTGGCACTTGTCAGCTGCATCCACTGCTGGCATGCACACACCGCTTTAAGGACACCCTCGACTGCTATTCAATCTATAACAACAGTGAAAAAAGTGTTTTGTTTTTAAATCCAAGCTTTGTGTCACCAGATCTAATTGGTGGCACTTGTCAGCGCATCCACTGTTAGCGTGAACACACCCGCTTTAAGGACAATTGACTGCTATTCAATCTATAACAGTGAAAAATATTTTTTTGTTTTAAATCCAAGCTATTATGACACCAGTGAGTGGTGGCACTGGTCACCGTATCCACTGTTAGCGTAACACACCCGCTTTAAGGACACTGACTGCTATTCAATCTATAACAGTAAAAAAAGTTTTTTGTTTTTAAATCCAAGCTATTGTGACACCAGATGTAATTGGTGGCACTGACTGGGGAAATGGGCACAGTATGCACTGTGAGCCTGACACAGAAGCTGGCAGCAGTGGCAGACAACTGACTGCTATTCAATCTATAACAGTGAAAAAAGTTTTTTGTTTTTAAATCCAAGCTATTGTGACACCAGATGTAATTGGTGGCACTGACTGGGGAAATGGGCACAGTATGCACTGTGAGCCTGACACAGAAGCTGGCAGCAGTGGCAGACAACTGACTGCTATTCAATCTATAACAGTGAAAAAAGTTTTTTGTTTTTAAATCCAAGCTATTGTGACACCAGATGTAATTGGTGGCACTGACTGGGGAAATGGGCACTGTGAGCCTGACACAGAAGCTGGCAGCAGTGGCAGACAACTAAGTGCATTTACATTAGATAGAAAAAAAAAATCCAAAAAAAGCATACCCTTATCCCTAACCTAGCTATGCTTTTCCCTATCTTATGAACAGCAGCTACACTTTCCCTCCTCTTACTAAACATGCAGCTTGAGAATGAATCTAAAATGGATGCTGTCCAGTAGGTGGGAGGGTCTGCTAGGGAGGCTGTGCTGCTAATTGGCTGGAATGTGTCTGCTGACTGTGAGGTACAGGGTCAAAGTTTACTCAATGATGACGAATAGGGGGCGGGTCGAACCGCGCATATGTTCGCCCGCCGTGGCGAACGCGAACATGCTATGTTCGCCAGGAACCGTTCGCCGGCGAACCGTTCGGTACATCACTATTTAACATCAAATATTTAGGTATGAAACATAATTTAATATGAATAAAATATAAAAAAATTGGAAAAAAATAAGAATTTTAAAACAAATCTTCTACGTGACATTTTAACTGTGTCATAATACTGTTTGCTTTTACTGCAATAATACACACATATTTGTATTCAGCGATGTCTCACATGTAAAACAGTACCCCCATGTACAGGTTTTATGGTGTTTTGGGCAGTTACAGGGTCAAATATAGCATGTTAAATTTTTCAGTTTTTTCACATTGAAATTCACAGGAATAAGATTTACCCCCATGGTGGCATACTATTTGCAAAAGTAGACAACCCAAGGTATTGCAATGGGGTATGTCCAGTCTTTTTTAGTAACTGTGACTAAGTGGCTACTAAATAAGTCTGAACATACCACATACCTAGGGTTGTCTACTATTGCAAATGGTATGCCATCATGGGGGTAATTTTCATTCTTAAAAGGCAACATAACAAACCTGGCAAATTTCAATTAGAAAAAAAACTGAAACGCAAGCCTTATATTTGACTCTGTAACTTTTGAAAACCCCATAAAACCTGTACATGAGTGGTACTGTTATACATGGGAGACTTCGATGAACACAAATATTAGTGTTTCAAAACAGTAAAATGTATTACAACAATTATATCATCTGTGTAAGTGCTATTTGTATGTGAAAAATGCAAAAAAAAATTCACTTTCACTGACGATATCATCACTGTAATACATTTTACTGTTTTGAAACACTAATATTTTTGTTCAGCAAAGTTTTCCGAGTAAAACAGTACCCCCCATGTACAGGTTTTAGGGTGTCTTGGAAAGTTACAGGGTTAAATATAGTGCTAGCAAATTAAATTCCCTGGATTTCGGCCTGGGTTGTCCGGCAGGTCCCACAAATTGTAATTAATAAAAATACCTAATTATGTAAAATTATTACATAAATATATACATAGAATTATTTTATATATATATACACACGTGTATATATATATATCTATATATAATTTTTAAAAATTGTTTTTATTTATATCTAGGTATATATATATATATAGTTATGTATATAGATGTATATATTTTGTTCTACGTGTATTTTGATAGCAATATATATTAATTTTAAATTTATTTTTTTAATTTTATTTTTTAATGTATTTACATATTTATTTTATATTATTTATAAATATATATAATGAAAACTATATATATATTTAATCAATATCATTGTACGTGTACTTTGATA